AGACTATTGGAGTATGTTTTACAAGAAAATTTGATATTTTTAAGTAGAAAGACTACAATCATATTTGATTCAATGTGTTACTTATGTTGTTTTTCAGTGTATTAAAGGCAGGGTAAGCGATTTCTGGTAGCCAATGTTGATATTTGAAATCACCAAAACAAACACGCCCCTACCCTAAAACGGTCTTGCCCCTATTTTGATAGCTCCGCCCCACATATACGTACGCAACCCAGGCAATGATTAGTTCTGTGAAACAAAGCAAAACCAATGTTACACCGTGTCTACATCGGACGTGAGCGGCGCGGCGCAACAAATCCCCGACAGAAAACTGCTGCCGGGTTCTATTTATGACGTGCTGACACAAATTTCAAATGGTTTTCAACGGTCGTTTGATCGCGTCCAGTGTAGGCAGACTTTAGCTGTTGTAGATACGGTGTTACTCACCTATTGAGAAGAAACAAAGCAACCTCGGCGTCCGATCACAGGCCAACGCTCCTTGAGTTCTCTCCAGCGCTGGAAAGCTGATCCGATATTTACACGGGTCCTGCTTCTTGCCTTATCGTTCCGCAGACGTTTTCCTCTTTTGTTTTTTATCCGCCATCTCTATCTTTCTGTCGCTCGGCTCGGCTAATGTCCGTCCCATGCACTGAAAGCTCTCTCCTCCACATCACGAGTAGACACGTCCCTTATTGCTGATTGGCTACAGGTTTGTTTTGCTATTCGGTCCGAATAAGTTTTCTAAAGTGTTTTTGAAAAATTACATCCCCTACCTTTAACAGTGAACTACATGTTTCAGTATCTCATCTATAACAGTGTTTCATGTTTCTCTCTCCTATGAAGCGCTGGAAAGTCTGATTCATTGGTGAATCAGTATGTTTGGGCATTTCATGTAAATGAACAGATTCAAAATGAATCGCACATTTGAGTCCCTATTTGTTCATGGTTTAGACTTGAAAAATTATAGTATTTTGTTGTATTTACTATAAATTGACCTGTTCAAATTTAGATTTGTTTATATATTATTATTATATAAAATATGGTCACGCCATACAATAAGGTTTTATTTGTTAACATTAGTTAACTACATTCATTAAGTAAGGGATAAAGTACATCCAGCCGGTTGTTATCTCAGAATAACCCCCTTCAGGGTGAAACAAGACCACCTGGTCCTGATCACCCTGTCGGGGGTTATTCTGAGATAACAACCGGCTGGATGTACATTATCCCGCTTATTACACAGCTTCTTGCCTCAGAAGTAAATAATTACTTGAAATACTGATTTGAGTTGAAATATTTGAACGCAAAGCTTCCGTGAACACAGTTCAAAGTTCAAACTAGACGGACATTTAAGGGATACGGTGCAGTCAAACCACATATTACACAACATTTCACCACATAAAAAATTATGCAGATAAAAGATTTAAGACAAAAAAAATGTTAAACCTTACCAGCTTGTTAGTTACCTTATAATCCATAACAGAGTACAACACAATCGTAGCAAAATGCACTGGAATAGTACTAAATGTGATACAAAACTCTTTTCAGAATGACATGGCGATTTCTTCAGTGTGGGCTGAGAATGAATCACCACAACATAAATGGAGTGTCATCAGGCTGCTGGTCAAGGGCAGAAAGAAAATGTTCTCAGTTCTAAAGGTCTAATAAAACAGGACAAAGAGACAAAACATGACTAAACTGCATATCTGCCTTCAAGCCTTTTTTGTCTTATGCTCCCCAGCAACCCCATCAAGGAGACTTAAGGCTATCTTCATCGACACCAAATCAGAAAAAAAAAATTCTTATTATACTACATATCATTTAGAATTAAAATGTATATAATTCAAATGGCCATTATTATTAGGACCCACTTTCCCCCCTTAAAAAGTCAGAAAATTGTTAAGCTGTTAATTACAAAGATAAAAGATGAATAGCTTTTAATTACTATAATCTTTTAGTAACCTTAATATTTTCTCATTTCTGTTTTATAGGTTTAATCTTGCCAAGTACCTCCACAAACTTGCTTAAGTGCCCCCTGCAGTAGCTGGGGATCACTGGGTTAGCACTTTAACAAATATAAGAAAAATATTCTCCATTATATTCTATCCAATATAAATGTATTCAGTTATTAATATCCACTATTATGTTATTCTATTATTCGCTTCTCCTTTGAAACACAATTTCATTCTTTCTCCATCTTTGTGACAAACTTAATTTTAGACAGTCTTGTGACAGTATGCATAAGCTTACTCCTAAAATAGCATACTACATCTACTGTATGGCAGTGATTTTGTTTCAAACTAGTTATGTCAAAGGGGGTCCATCCATTCAAGGGTGTAAATTAAATCGGGGCCACTAGAGGAGCGCGTATAGCAAAGTGACATCTTGAAACAAGATTGACACTTTTTGCCACAGCAGCAGCGCCAAACGTTAAGGAGTATAGCAGCTAATAGAGTGTATTCAAAACTTAAAGCACAAAGCCGTGAGTTGGCACAAGGGTGCTGCTTATACATCACAGAATAAGACAGAGATTATTGAGGCATTTAAAATAAAACCATTTCAACAAAGTCTAGGATGATTTCACTCGACCAGCACTTGCGTAATAGGGCCAATGGGGCTCTCACTGTTCCTGAACGTGGAGTAGTGAGTGACCTATTGCTGTTCCAGACATACATATACATTTACTCATCATACTTCAATATGATCATATATCATTAACATACAACAGTGAGGACATATAGGAGCAAACCCACTAAACAATATTTTCACTGCATACTGTACTTTTCACACCTGCAATCCAAACTTAATCCAAAATGCTAAAATTAAGTATATGTTATGCTTTTAATCACAAACAACCCTTTTTATGCAAAATACCACAGATTACATTTTATTCACATCATTTTTTAAATTAAAATTAAATTCATTGAGTGATTGAAAAGAGCAATATAACATGGCATATATATGTGCGTTGTAGTAGACAATGTAGGGGAAACGTTTAAAGTGTAGACTGCCAAGTTACAAGCTAAATATAATTTAAACTACAGCCATGCCACCATTTGAAAAACTATATGAAAAACTAGTTAAATGAAAAATGTAATTTATATAATTTCTATAATAGCTTAGGTAACACTTTACAATAAAGTTGCATTTGTTAATATTAGTTAATGCATTAGTTACATTAACTAACAATGAGTAATATATTTTTACAGCATTGATAAACCTTTGTTAATGTTAATAAAAAGCAATTGTTCATGTTAGTTCACAGTGAATTAATGTTAACATATAAAAAGTTGTGGAGTTCAGTGTTCTGAGGCAATTTTGACAAGTATATTGCTTTGAGGCATTCAGTGGGAAAGCATTATTTTGTTTTTACAAAATTTACAGAAATATTGCTTTTATTATTTTGTGCTTATTGTACAAAACATACTTGCATTCTTCTTTTTATTTTTCTTATGATCTGTGGTTGTTTGAAATTAATATATATATATATATATATATATATATATATATATATATATATATATATATATATATATAAAAAAAAA